CTAAGTCCATTTAGCCATATCCGTTTGTCCGTCAGTATAAGAGTCAGTATATTCTTATATACCATATTGAGAACGAGATTGTTTCGATAAGTCATCCCATTTCCATATCGAAAAAAAATCGGTAATGTGGCTGTAGCTTGAATACTAAGAATACAAAGAGCTAGCGATTTGGGTTCATGTACTAAATATTGAGATTTTGGATTTAGAACAAAAGTTATTCAAAAACAAGTAATAAAACTCTAGGAGATACCCTGATCCCAGTCCTATCTGCGTGTTTTAATATTTTCCGTAGTTTGTATCGAGTATTAAAAAAATACAAATAAAAACTGGCATTACCACATCAAGATTCGAACCCCCCCTTTTTACTTTTTAATTAAAAAAAAATAAATCAATAAAAAATGTCTCGTCGCCGCGAGGATTGAGATTAAACGCTGACGAGCGCTGCCTCTACCAACGCAGCCACTGCACTGCTTACTCAAGCAGTTGCAAATTTGAAGTTAAGTAGCAGCTAATAATTCAGCACAATTCAATCGCAATTTCGATTCTTCTAATAGAAAAGAATACACGCATTTGAATGTAGTGTGCACACGCATAGGAAAAATTCGTGCGCGTGGCGCTGCCGACATGACAGGACGACAAGCCGAGTCGATTGAGCCTTGTCCATCTGTCTGTCCGTATGTTTGTATGTATGAACGTGTCGATCTCATCATGTATAAGAACTACAGACTTAAACGTCAATGTATATCACTAGCAAATTAAGTTTGTTTAAAATATTCGATAACTATTCCCGATTTATTATTATCGATAAAAAGCATGATCCAAATGCTTAAGAGCTAGAGCCTCCATTATTTTTATTTTTGAATTATAAAGTGGAGGTGTTGGTAGAGTTGATGTGCATTGCGTAAACAAAGTTGACTCGAATTTTGGTGTCGTAATGTCGGTTTTTATTTGTTTATTTTTTTTAATACTCGATAAAAATTATGGAAAATATACTATTATGGAATATATACACAATACTATATTGTTTATTTGACTGACCTACGTACAGAGTACCATGATTTTACCATCCTATAAAACCGGGTGGTGAAGCCGGGTTGAGAACTATATCTTAATGTGGCACCTACGAATTGCAGGTCTTGAATTAAGGGATGAATGGTGGTTATTGCAAAAGGCTTTTGAAAACAACAACAATGGGGCAATTTACCATTATACCGCAATTCCCCATGTTCGGTCTTTAAATTGGTACGCCTCTGAAAAAGAATAAAATATAAAATTATAGTTAGTCTAAGGGATCAAATACATAGGGCCCATACATTGAATCAACATTTTATTAATTTACGTGTATATAGCTTTACAATTGGATTCCAAATCTAAATTTCGTAATCTTTGCCAATACTTATACAACTAATTTTGGTTAATAGCAAAATATTAAATAGACGTATTGTAACCAACTATTCGTATAGCAAAAATTGGAATAATGAAATTTTCGCTAATTGCGCCAACCAACATTTCTCAACCTCTTTTTTGTAGGTTTTTTAAATCTTTGAAAAAATGATACACAACTCAATTTTGTACTATTTTAAGATAAAACAGACCTCAATACAAAATAGAGCACTATATCTTGAATGATATAGACAATATTCATTAAAGAAGAACGTGTAACGGGCAGTTCATGTTTTTATTGGGGTTGGAAATAAATTTAACATTATTGAAAATAGCTACCTACAATGGTCAATGGGAATATACATCTGTGTAGACTTTCGGTGATAATGTTTATATCATACTTATTAAAGACTTATTAAAGGTATTTTTATTTTAATATTTGCCCGAACTTTGATTTTTTGAGTTGTATTATCCGCACAACAGATATCTTCTCTGTGCCAAGGATATATACCTATATAGAAATATACTATATAAACGGATGCATTATATTTATTACATACTATTATAGCCATATAAGAAAAATATCCTATGGATATATAATATTAGTCTGAAAACAGTTCCTTATAAGAACTATTTGCAATAATAAAATAGAGATATCCAATTTTTTACGACGACGCTAAAAACTTGTGAACGGAAATATACGAGCACAATCTTCTATCGCTATTGATTACAGATTAACGAAAAAAACATAATATCCTTAAGAATACTGGAATTCTGTAAAATTTTGCAGCTTTGGTCCATTTTTGTGTAGATTTAGTTATGACAAAAAGTAATATAAAAGTATATTTTAGTTAATTAATCTTCGGCACTCCGAAATTAAGTAGATTGGGGTTTTCTGTTGATTGTATTAACCCTTTTTTATTTTTAAACCATTTTTTAGTAAGAAATGTCGCTAGATGGAACGCTGGAACGCGTTTGAAACATTCGCTGATATATTCGGTTTGCCAAATTGCAAAAATTATGTATAAGCCGGAACAGACCTGTAAGTAAATTTTCTGAAGTGATATCAAATTATTTATATTATTTTGGGTCTTAAAAAGAATGAAGAACAGCTGCTGCATAAAATGAGATAATTTCTAGCGAAACACAGTGTGGCCCTAATTTTACACAAATAAAGCTATTTATCAAAATTTAAATGGCATATAAAAGAACATTTTTCAAGTTTCAACATGAATATACGCGCAGGGTGCTACGCTCACAGTGTGAGAAATGTGATTTTGACAATTTGGTATTTAGATTGCAATAAATGAATTTTTCTTGTTGATGAATAAGTATACATTTTTTAATAAATACGAACAAAAAAATAAATAATAAACAATTTTAAATAAAATGTTTTTTCTTTGCTCCGACTTTTTTGCGATTTTACTTCGGTGTTTTTTTTAACTAACGGGAAAAGTAGGTCTTCCTTAAGGGTTCTTAATAAACCAATGTTTAATCTCATACTCTACTAAATAAGAAAAGCCCTCAAAATATAGGAGTTTGCTAAAATAAATCTATATCTTAAAATAATAAAAAGTGGAAGAGTATACTTATTTAATAATTTGTGTTGTACATAACCATATTTTCTTAATTACATCAAAATATAAAATGCTTGTGTAATAGTTTTCTTACAATTTCTACTTTCAAAAGTTTAAAAAAGTTTTCGGATTTTCGCTCTTTGATGATTTTTTATCAGATTCATTGTTTGACGGGTCGGTCGTTGATTTAAAATTAAGCAATAAAATATCAGAAGATGAATGACGCTTAAAAAGGCTATGACACATATTCAGCTAGCAGTGAACACCACACTATGGTGTTATGAACATATTTCCATTCACATTTTCATTTTATAATATTGGAGGCTTTGGGTAACAATTGGCAAACCAATAGTTATTCCAACACAGCTATTTAGTTCCATAATCGCCAGACTTTTCTATAGACTGCTCATTAGTCCTTACTGGACTCTATTGATAAGCTGGAGCCAGTTGAGAATTGCATGGTTGAAGCTTTTGCAAAAAGAGTCAAGGACCTCGACTATTTTTTGTGTACGCTATGACATACAACTGTTAAGTTCGAGAGTGTCGCTCTATTATTTTTTGTTAATTTGTTGATTAGTAAAAATTAACAATTAAAACTTAAAGCTTACAATATTATCAGAATTAAAATATAAATAAATCGATAAAAACCTTTCAACAAAATGAATTGTGTTCACGAAATTCATAAAATCTATAATGACTTAAAGGTATCTATTTACCAATTAAAAACAATATATATATAATACAAAAATTATAATAATTAACCAACCTCATAGCAAAATATACAAAACTGGGAATACGAAGAAATCCTAAAATGTAGAGTTGCCGAAAATCTAGGCTATGTATTTAGCATATGTACAAATGTAAATGTATAAGAGAAATTCAGACTAAAGCTTCCTTACTTATCCCCAGCTGCGGAAGAGAATTAAAATATATTTTCCTCTAATTGAATTTGGAATCATATTGAAATTCTTTAAGGATTGACTGAATAATATATTGCGTTTAGCAATATTTTAAAATAAGCTAAATCTATCAGTTTTTTAACTGAGTATAAACTTGATTTTTATTTATGTAGTACATATGCACACATATGTTTCGGACTACCAAAAGAAGATTTCTCAAGTTTCGAAGTAATTGGAATGGTTATTAAACATAACTAACGACTAATAAATTACAATTATACTATATATTATCGGCAGGATCTATGACGCATAAATAAAACTCAATTCCGTGTTATTATTATTATTAGTGAATGCATTTACAGTTAAGCATGTTTCAAAAATTAGAAATCCAAATGTACAATATTTTACAATTAGGAACAATTAAAAATATTATTTTCTTGAAAACTATATAAAATTTTAAAAAATTCCCGTAACTACGCTTTGTATTGTCTGAGTGAGAACCATAACTTAAGTGTTTTTCATTGAAACTCTGAAATAAATGATCTTCTTTAAATATATCATCCGATTTTTTTAGAAACCGATTTATTTTGTATACCTTGCCAGTTTGGAGCCATCATTAAAATACATTAGAATTTATGTTGTGCGCGTATCGCGAAAATACTCGTATTATTACATACACCGAAACTTAATCAATTTAAAATATTGCGACTTCGAAAAATGTAAGAGAAAATAATATTTTTCTATTAAAATTTGAAGCTGGCAACCCTACTGACATGAATAACAAGTTATTACTGTGTACAGAAAAAAATTGGTAACTCAATAATCAGCCTGTATACAGATAATTTTTGCGCATGCGCATCAGTCAATCTGTTTTAGTCCTTTGGTTCACTTAGCGTTAACAACTTACTGGGTAATAGTTTAATAAAAACTTTTCTAAATCACTCAGAATAAAAAACGCAATGTAAATACCATTAAAATAAAATACATATCGTAAACATAATGCAATATTATTAACAAATATTAATATTGGCTTAAGTTTAACTACTTATAATACTTTTGAGAAAACGCGTTATAGGTAACAAGTTGAATCACAAGTCTTTAAATATTGATCAATTAAAAACAAATTTATATCAAATTGTTGAAAGTGAAAATCTACATATTCAATGGGGTGCTTAAGTAGTAAAGATCGTCTGACAAAAGAGGATATGGAGTTTTTGAAAACCCACACCCGTTATGATGAAGCCACTATAAAAGAATGGTACAAAGGATTTAAGGTAAGTTTAAAGCGTCCTTTAATATAAATCGATGTAACTAATAAAAATGTGCACCATTATTTCGTGTAGCAAGACTGTCCCAATGGCCGTTTGACTCCAGCTAAATTCGTTGACATGTATAAAATGTTTTTTCCATCTGGAAATGCGGAAGAGTTTTGTGACCATGTTTTTCGCACATTCGATATGGATAAAAATGGTTATATTGACTTTAAGGTAATTGAAAGAGAAAAATAAATTGCGTGCCTTCAAATGATTATATCTTATTTATGGTTATAATTTATACTTTATTTTACTGAAATTTAATTCACAATAGTAAAACATATTAAGTAATATATTTTTAATTTTAAATTAAATTTTACATATCTATTTAAAAGACATTTAAATAAAATATATATTACAAAAGTAATTTAATGGATACTACAATTTCGCAATTGCATTATTTTGGTTAAGCAAAACAATTTTAATCATGGTTAATCGATATGCCTACATTTCCAATTACAATTGAGAGCTTTCAATTGTATGTAGATGTAAACACAGATGTATATACATATACATACACATCCACAGATGTGTCTATATGTATATATCCAAATTGTGAAGTGTGTAATCTGTGTTTACATATACATATATTACTAGTAGTATATATATTCGGAGAACCACCAAATCATAATGTTTGTCTGTCACTGTCTGTGTAAATAAGTATGTAACCGATATTGCCGTTTTAATTTAATCCCGAGATCGTGGATTATTTGCACATATTGTGGTATTTTTTTTTTGTTATAATTGTATATATTATATTCATATGCTGTATAATTTTTATACGCATTCACGAGGGGAAAGTTATCCGTCCATTTGTCCGTATATATATATATATATATATATATATATATATATATATATGATTATATTTTCCCAATATGCACATTAGAAGCGTGGCGACATCGGGAAATACTATATCGGGTATAACGGAAATGCTATTTAAAATTACTTGAGACTTGAACCACCCAACATTAGGAAGATATAGTAGACCCATTGAGGGCGTAACAAATCGAATGATATCTTTCAAAATGTTGAAACTAACAATTTGTCACGTGAGTTCTGTAGATTTCTTCTGAGAATTTGTCATAGGTCCACGCCCACTGGAGGCATAGCAAGTCGGGCAAACGAATAAAATACTGTTGATATGCTTTGATTTACCAAAATCTATGTATATCCTTCAAAGTTTTGCAGCTACAGATCCAAAAACATTCTTTCTGATTTCTTTACAAAAGTGATTCAACTGTTTTTGGACTGTGATGAGTATTATGTAGTGTTTGATTGCAATATTCTTACTTGTTTTAATTTAAAAATGTGCGTTTGTTGTCAACCTTACTTGATTATTTTTGTATTTCATTTTCTTTACCAGGAATTTTTACTTGCAATAGATGTTACTTCTAGCGGAACACCGGAAGAGAAATTAAAATGGGCATTCAGAATGTACGACGTCGATGGGAATGGCGTTATTGACATTCAAGAAATGACAAAAATTGTTCAGGTACACCCCAAATATTTACATATTTTGATTAAAACAATCATTTTAGTAACTACAGTGCAGTATATATATTCGTTTGGAAAAAATTTATTTTATGCATATTATTGTTATATTATATAATATTGTAAATATATTTATATTTATATTTTAAAAATATATTTTTGTTAATTTTTTTAAGAATATTTAATTTATTAATACGCAAATTTTTTAACTAAGTGGCAAAGGGTGAAGTCTACGATGTATTTTGTTACACGGCATTGGTACCATTTTAGGGTGAACAAAAAGACGATCTTTAAGCCTACTATCTTAATGCTAGGTCGCATTCCATACTTATATTAAGATTCGTTGCCAGCTTGGGAAACTCAAATATATCGTGGTAAGCTAGGAAGAGTTGGGTTCGTTTATGCAGTTATGACATAATGTTCAGTCATAAATTCATTTAAATCAAAGCTGACATTAAATGGATAGTTGTCTCAAACCCTTGCTCGAGCATTAAATAATATCTGTTTTTCATTTAAATTTTAATAGTTTGCGAATTCGTGGTATAGGTTTTACCAATAAAAGATATTTTAATTAAAATGTAATGAATTTTTTTTTATCTTAAATTATCAATTTATTACGATATATATCCACATGATTTTTATATAGCTAGTAGTCGATTTACACATACAACACAAATTAAGATCGAAGGATACTCTTCAAAAAATTGTCTAAATACACATCTTATAGAAGGAGAAATTATTTTCTTGGATGTTACAATATTCCTAAAAATTAATATATTACTTATGTTTCCTGACAAAAACAATTTCTAGAGTATATACATTTTACTAATTATTTGATTGATCCACAAATAGCCCGGGAATTATATTTACTATGTGATATTAAAAGGTTATGGTGTCCAATGGTATCAAACTTTTATTATTAATTATTCATTTTTTCATAATTAAATATATAAACCTTGTTTGAAAAATTAAATTTTATCCACGAAAATTTTTTCAGGCAATCTATGACATGCTAGGCGCATGTTCATCAAATCGTCCCGCAGATTCAGCTGAGGAGCGAGCAAAAAATATATTTGCTAAGATGGATGAAAATAACGATGGTCAATTAACTCAAGATGAATTTTTAAAAGGATGTTTGCAGGATGAAGAGTTGTCTAAAATGCTGGCCCCTTAAATATTTATATCCCATAATATGTGTGTATTTGATGAAATCAGTAATGAAATGTATAAATATTTAATTTATATTTCTTATACTAAAATTATATAAAATATTGAACATCACCCAATTTGTTTCAATATTTATTTAATACATATATCTAACAAAGAGATGGTTTGACTAATCTACATTTGAATAGTGTTAGGTATGGTCTCATTGCTATCTAAATGTTGGTCTTTTCAGATCTGAAGGTATGGTAATTGCTATAGATTTCTGTGCATTGAGCTTGCTTAATAAGCTTTTTGATAAATAATAAATTTTATAAAGTGGTTTCCCTATAGGGACGTAATGGTATTGGTATAGCAGCTAATCGTCTTAAGTATCGAAAAGTTTTGGACACAAAGTTCATGAAAAGTATATCCTAATCGGGCACCTCCGAATAGAAAAAAAGTGCTTACGTGGCATAGTATTAAGTATTATTTTTCAAGATAGCAATTTATCTGTGTATCGATTCAAATATATTTAGCAAAGTGTTATACCATATGTATGTTATATATTAACATACATACATGTAACTTCTTACCCGTCAGTTATTGTTTCTTTGACGAGTTATAGAATTATTTTAAAATATTAAACGTTTCATAAACTCTTTATAATATTTTATAACTGATATATCCATCGGTAAGTTTATGTCAAAAATGTATCATGCATAACTTGGAAAAGTAATCAGAACAAAAACATTGTGGTTACATTTTATATAATTTCCTCGGATGACATGAAAATATTTTTTATTGATATCTGGTTAGAACCGTCATTTATGGCGTTAAACTTCACTATATTTGACATCATTATTTAAAAAAAAATAACATGCTTTTTATATCTTGGTTTTGAATGTGGGGTATTCACAAAATTCAAACGTTGGCTAATCTTGCTTAAGCCAGCGGCAAATAAAAAAAATATTTTATGCGGATTTACTTTTGTGAAAATCAATCTCCACAATAAGAACTAGTTATAGAATGAGGGCTATTCTCTATACAGCACCATATGCATTTAAAACAACAACTCTCATCCAACGCATATATAAAATTATTATGGCTTTTAATTATTACATAATAAAATAACATGACTATTAATAATATAGTAATGTTCACAATATTTTTGCACCATAAATAAATAAGATTATTGCAGTCGGAATTAACGATAATCCATATTGTTGACTATCAACCTTTAAAACGAACGAACTTGTTAACTTTTAGTTAAAAATGTAAATAATTTAATAAGAGCTCATTCATCTAAGAAAATTTCAGCCTCAAGCTTGGCTCTATTTTAAGTTAACTATATTTTCTTGTTAAGTTATACATTTTTCTACAGCAGAAAGATATTAATTAATTAAAATTCTTTCTATTTTAAGAAAAAATATAATGAAATCAGCGTCAAAAAATGGGAAAGCAAAATAGTAAACTCAAGCCGGAAGTTTTGGAGGACCTAAAACAAAATACAGAGTTCACAGGTAAATTGGTAATTTATAAAAGCTATTTTCTCCTTTATATATTCCGTCATCACTTTTTATTCCCTGATCCCATTGAAAATGGAAAATCAGGGTATAATGGTTTTGTGCAAATGTATGTAACAGGCAGAAGGCGGCGTGGCAGACCCCATTAAGTATATATATAGATGATTGTGCCCTGTCCGTATGTCTGTCTGTCCGTCTGTCCGTCCGTCCGTCTGTCTGTCCGTATATGTGAACGCGTGGATCTCAGCATCTATAAGAGCTAGAGACTTGAAATTTTTTTGTAGGTCAAGTTTGTTTCAAATATTCGATAACTATTCGCATTTAATTGTTATCGAATAAAAACATTATTGAAATGCAGTAAATAAATTATATCTCGAACGTCTTAAGAGCTAGAGCCTGCAAATTTTGTATTTAGTTTAACGTATATTTTATGCAATTTTGAATTTTGTTGGATTTTGGATACTGTCTCCAAATTTCCCCAAATTCTTAAAATTTAAGTTTGGTTGGAACTTGGGCCATTATGTGAAGGCGTTTGCATCTCAACCAAGCCAACAGGATATGTAGATCATATGCTGAAAATTTCATTAAAATCCATTAAGTACAACAGAAGTTATTAAACAAAACGTTTGTCCAATTTGCAAAAGCACATGTCAGCAATTTTCCTATGCGTGTGCACACATATATTCAAATGCGTGTATTCTTTTCTATTCGAAGAATCGAAATTGCGCTTCAATTGTGCTGAATTATTAGCTGCTACTTATGTTCAAATTTGCAACTGCTCGTGTGAGCAGTGCATTGGCTGAGTTGGTAGAGGCAGCGATCGTATGCAAATCGGTCCGGTGTTCGAGACCGGTGGAGTTGAAACATTTTTTATTGTTTTTTTTTTTTTTTTAATTATGAAGTGGCGGTGTTGGTAGAGATGGTGTACGTTGCGCAAATAATCCGGGCTCGAAACCTGATCTCGCAATGTCGATTTTTATTTGTTTTCTTTTTTTTTTTTTGAATACTCGATACAAACTACGGAAAATATTAAAAAACTCTTGTTGAATTAATAATTGTTTAGAAATACTATACGTATTTTTCCAAACAAATGAAATATGCATAATGCATTCTTTACGTTTCCTATGGAAACCCAATTTTTTTTCTTTTGTGCGCTATTAGCGCTTTGTGAAATGACAATCTGAAGTCAAGTTTTATGAAGTAGTTGTGCTTTTTATACGTATTCGCGATGAATCTATGTCGTCTAATGCCTTTAATTTAAAAAATAGATTATTGAGTTACTGTTGGTCTCTTCTATTGAAAAACTGAAAATCGAATGTAGTGTCAACAGCTTGAGAGTGTAAGCCTTAAATGTTGATAGTTTCGTTACTATCTACTACAGTTTTTCAGTATTATATTCCAAAGTTGTGGAGCTAGCAGCGATTACTTTATTCGAAATGCACGAAATCTCTATCTCCTTATTTTACGCTCGAATACCGTAAAATGCTTAAAAGCGAAAAAAATTAATTCTGATAGATAATAGGGAAGTTATCGAAAAAAATTATAGTCTCGTATTGCGTATGGTATGGTAATAAGCATTAGAGTTTACGAGATTGACTCAGTTCGTCGTTATGGGGCGTGCCCCACATTCTTCTGCCTTTTTTATGATTTTTAACAAAATACTGAAACTGAATCCCATTTTAAGTAATTTTACATAATTTATACTGTATCCTTTTACATTACAGATGCTGAAATTCAAGAATGGTATAAAGGGTTTTTAAAAGATTGCCCAAGTGGTCATTTGTCGGTGGAAGAGTTTAAAAAAATCTATGGAAATTTTTTTCCATATGGGGACGCCAGTAAGGTATTTTGAACTTTTTATATTCTACCTTTTATTCCTCTTATGTTCGTATCTTAAATTAATAAATAACAAGTAATTCACATTAAAATCGTTTGCACTGTTTATAAAGAAGTATTTTATACAACTCTATAGTTAAAAAGTAATTTATATAGTGTTCCAATCTGATTGTGTACGACAATTATACTGCCTGTTTGAAAAGTCGGATCTACGTCGTCATTTCTTAAATTCATAAAATAAAAGAGCGTCGTATAGTATTATGTGACATGAAAAAACGTATAATTTGTTTAAGAATATAAAAAAGTGCAATCCGATGGCATTATATGTATATTATTATTATGTACATTATTATGTATATCTACATCTGATTTTATCAAGATATCTTTAACAAAAAAAAAAACTATTATTATTATTCTTATAAATTTAACACATATATTAAGATCAGATAGCTGTGTTAAATGTTACATGATACTCGATGCAGGGGTACCCAAATATGTTTATAATAAAAGTTTTATTTAGTTCGCAGAACACGTTTTTAGAACATTCGACGCAAATGGTGATGGAACCATAGATTTTAGAGAGTTCTTATGCGCATTAAGTGTAACATCTCGTGGAAAGCTTGAGCAAAAATTGAAATGGGCATTTTCAATGTACGACTTAGATGGAAACGGATACATATCGCGGCAGGAAATGCTTGAAATTGTTACGGTAAATATCATTGTTCTATGACATTAATTAGAAAGGTAGAGTATAACTATGATTAGTTGGATCAAATTTGTTCAAAGTTAAAGGCGAATCAGTTGATTTTCCACAGCCTTCACGGACTGTTGTCCTCGGACTGTTATGTAAGTCCGGTCGTTATCCATTGATTATGTAGAAGAAATTGTTTACAGCGATGGCTGATGGGCCGTTTCTTTGTTCCTCTCGAAAGTTTTCTGTCAAATTGTTTTTAATTTTTCTGTTTAGTAATTCTGTATCAGGTTTATTCATCCATTTGGCCAATTACTTCCATTCAAATTTTTAATGTTGCCACGCCCTGCACGCAGAGGCCGTACTGAGCGTACTCCGCTTCTTGAAAGCGAGTTATAATGGATTATGTATTTCAATTAACTTTACATTTACCTCAAAGTTAACAACTGATTAAAGTTTCCACCCAAAGCGGCCCTACTTCACAGTTGCAACTTATTGCACAAGCAGTGCAATGGCGGTGTTGGTAGATGCGGCGCTCGTAAGTAATAGTCTCTGGGCTTTTTCTATTGTTTTTTTAATTATTTTAGTGGCGGTGTTGATAAAGCTGATGCGCGTTGCGTAGACAACGTTGGTTCAAATCTCTGCGTTTTAATATCGGTTTCTATGTGTTTCTTTTTAATACTCGATACAAACTACGGAAAATATTAAAAAACACAGATAGGACTGGGATCAGGGTATCTTCAAGTCGGGCACCCCGACTAGAGCTTTCTTACTTGATATTTTTGAAAAGAACGTAGCGCGTGAATTCTGCAAAATTTAACCTCAGTATATCTGTGGTACGGATTTTCTTTTGAAAGTCGCAAAATCAAATCATCGATTTTTATGAGTAATAAGGCAATGGGATGACATCAAACAAAACCATAGAACTCATACTATATGTTTGACTTACATCGATTCAGGTCGTCTTCAGATTACGAATATTTATGGTGTCT